ACCAGAAAATTATTTGATTCAACTCGAAATTTTTATTATATGACTCGAACTCGACTTGATTCGAGAAAAGGCTTGACTTGCCCAGCCCTGGTAAAGAAGAACTTTTTCTTATAGATACTGATCCAATATATCTATGTGCCATGCATTTAACGAATGATTTTTTTAGATCGGTTCCTAATTTTCAAGTCCATTAGTATTCACAAGCTTTTCGAATACAAACAACATCACATTCGCCTTGATTTTATCTATGTAAACAATAATTATTATTGTTTTCTCAAGATGTAACACATTTGACTACTAAATGACTTAATCATTTGTTATTATCGACAGCTAAATTATGCCTTGGTAATTAATTTATATTGATCATTTATTTACATGATGTTATTAATAATGAAACATATATCAAATTTGATCATGGTTTAACAAAATCCGACATTATCTTCAAAGATCGACAAAATTTTAGCTCCCGTTTGACATCAACATGTAATGATCTAGTTAAAATTTAAGTGATAATATTAAAACTCGAGATAATTATGTTGAAAATTTGTGTTAAATAATAGACAAACAATAGTTTTTGGCACTTTGAATAGATGATCATCAAAAACTTGGTTATTGACTAAAACTAAGTCGTCGGATTGAGCCATTGCATAAAACCTTCAGACTTTTGTTTTTCTCGCTCAATTCGTTTTTATAGAATAATCAAATTGAATATAAGTATCCATTTTTCTCTATCATCAACATATCATATTAAAAAAAGAAAATAACAAAGTTTTATATATTCCATCTTCGATGCTAAAAAGACAACTTCTATTGAATGAACACAATTCACCGACGATTTCTCGTTATTTATAGAAGTCAAAAAAAAACAAATGTTGATATGACTAGCGATCGAAAAATATATTTGTATTAATTGAAAACGATTGTTCGATTCCAGTTGCGATTGCTGGCACTCTAAAGAACAAATGAAAAGTCATTCAAATTGATTGCTTGTATATTAAATCGATGATTATCAACAGTATCTATATATTGATTAGTTTCATGTATTTTCTTATTCAAGATTTATCAAACTATAGCAAGCATTGTACATTCATATTTCACTGTTAAATATAATTTGAATATTGTTTACATAAGAACATTTTTTATTCGAATTAATGAATAATTAAAGTTCAATACGTTGTTTGAAATTCGAGCATAATAATATCAAGAAGGAAATATATATGTATATCGAAATAGTAATGACATTTCAGGTATTGAAATCATTTTGAGACGATAGCGTAACAAGTACATCAGTAAATGATCATCAAAAAAAAAAAATGTTAATATTGATGCAAATGTTACATGTATACTTTTAGTGTTATTGATGATTTCAGAATACGATTAATACTATGAAACAGTGTATTGATGTTAAAAATCAGAAAGTGATGTGTTTCTTTGTTAGAATTTTTATTTTTTTGAATAATTTAAAAAAAAATTTTTTGTGACGCTGCTTTCGTTGTTTCTTAGTAATTTATTTCTTCCAATTTTATGACCCTGATTATGGTTTCGCATATCTCACTAATTGAAGTGGAATAAGTTAAATTATATTCTTGATTTCTTCGAGCGTAATGAAGTCAATTTCAAACATTTATTTTGTTTTCATTATTAACGCTTTTGTGAACTAAAGAATTTTGGTTACTTTTTTTTTCTTTTATGCCACATGATAGTGCACATCTATAATAAAAATGCACTCAAATATAGTTAAATTATAGCACAGGTTCAATTTCTGCTCAATGGTTATAAAATTTTCCAGATAATTATCATCATCAATATACAACTGGATAATCTAAAATCTAAGTTTTTTTTTTTTTTTATATTGTAAATAAAATAAATAAAGAGAAAATCTGTCTCGTAATGAATACTAAAAATATCTTGTTTATTCATTCTAGTTATACTCATTTCACATTGTTGAAAGTGACGAAATATAAAACTTTCAATAATTGTTGAATATTCTAATTAATATCGATATCGAATTAGAATGTCCTTGAGTAATGATACATTAATTATTGTATCCAATTCTATTATTGTTAATTTTGATCTTGCCAAACATCGATTTTTGAGTCAACTTTCACTTGTATTCATCATTCTTGGATCTATTAGTTTTATCGGAAATGTTTTTATATTTCTTTAATCTATTCTTCGATTAAATAACTTTTCTATCTACTCTCCGCGTAGATCAGTTATTGATATTATCAATCTTTTTCTTGGTCTATTACGTAATTATATACATTCAATCTACAACATATTTTCAGTAATAACCAAAACTCAATTATGTAAATGGAAGCTGTTAGGTTTACTCTTTTTATTTCAATTATCAATGAATATATTAATTTTAATCTTTGATTGATCATAATGTTTGCACATGTTGTCTGACATCATCGATGCGTCATATCCATCAATGAAAAATGGTACCTTGGTTAATTAGCATTATAGTTATTATTTAGTGGTTTTATGTCACTCTATGCACCTCTTATTTATGATATCACGTCTGATTTTGCATGTATTCCTACAGATTCATTATTAAATGGTGTATTATACATTGTTATTGGTGGTTTGATAATATCAATTATGACGCCTATATTTGTTTGACTTACTTATCGAAATGTTAAGCGAAGTCGTCAGAAAATAGTAAATAGATTGTTTTATTTTCTTGTAACAAAAATAAATAATTGATATGTTAAAGGTATAATGACAGATACAACTTCAATTTATTCTCGTTATTATTTTATTAGTATGATTTTTACTCAAATTAGAGTAACTATCAAAGATTTATTTAAATTAATACATAAATTTTCAACGCAACAATATAATAAAAGACATGTGCAATATTTTATATAGTGTGCTAGATCTATTCAAACTCATGTGTCTAATTGTCATTTACTCTTTGACTTAAATTGTGAAACTCATTTCTTATTGTTCATTGGACCGTCTATTCATTATTCTCTTTATAAATATCATAAAATAAATATGAATAGAATCTAATAATATATTAAGTATATATATGGAATTATTCGGATTGAAGAAAACAGAGCCATAAACGATGGAAACCACCGTCTTTACATTACCGTTTTTCGTAAACCCACAAAATAGTCTGACGAAATACAGTAAATATTAATACAGTAATACGCCATTTCTACCAGTCGGAATGATCATGACCTTGAGTATTTTAATTTTTACACTGTATCCCTATTATTTCAAAGAAAGTATCTATATACAATTGTTGCTTGTAGAAGTTGTATATCTTTTGTCAACTACGTATGGTTAGAGGTATCCAGAGACGAGAGATCACTCCCTAATCTTGAGAAAGTTTCGTTTTTTCCCCAGCGAAGTGCTAGCATTTTATTCGCATGTTGCTCACGAATTCTAAAAGATCACTAGAACTCCAATCATGGCGACCTCGGAGCATCCATCCTTGGAAAGAAGTATAAACAATTTCTAATAATAATTGAAGATAAATTGTAAACGATATTTTTCATACTTTTTCTTAAAATAGAAGTCTGAACTTTTTATCGCATATATATCTAATCAAGATGTTTGATTTTCCAAAGTTTCATCTCTCTATCTGAAACTAATGTAGCAATGCATGAATAAGATTAAAATACATAAATTTTTGTATTTGACTTTTATGATATCTTTATTTCTTGACTAGTAATATCTATGAACATCTTATAGAAGAAAACTTTGCAAGGCAAATTTTTCAAATCTGCTTAAATATACTCTCCATTGCTTCCTATAACCAATTGTAATTGATCAGATATTTCATCTGCCACTTGTGCACATTTTTCTTTCGAAAACTTTTTCCATTTTCTTTTTCTAATTGTAATGATGTATCAAACATTTTTCTGCGAACTTTTACATTCAGTACATTCTACACATTTTCAGTTCTTCATACGTCAGCAAATTCAGCATTGCTGTCTACTGGTTCTATCAGTTTATTAAATAATTGTGCTACAAAAACCATGCAACTAATACTTTGCGTTGCTTTAAGATGATTTAAATTCAATGCAACTATTTACAATCTTTTCTATTTTTATAAAGATTTTTAGATATAAATGTATTCCTACATAGTTAAAATAATCGCTAACCACTCTGTCACCACTGACTACGTAGTAAAAGTATTATAAAAATTTAATACAACAATTCATGTATGTTAATCTTAATCATACATTAGCTTTAGATTGAGAGCTGAAACTTTAGAAAATTAGAGATCTTAATTTTATATATCTGTAATAAAAATTTCAGCGTTCTATATCAAGTAAAACTTATGAAAAATGATATTGACAATTTATCCTCAGCTATTATAGGATATTCTTTAGAGAGGTGAAAAAGTCAGGATTGAATATCTACATCAGAAATGAAGTATACAATTGATTAGTAGTGACCTCTATCAAATATCAAATAACTGAATAAAATTCTTAAATTTAATAAATTTAAATCTTAAAATAATATTTAAACAATAAAAAATAAATAAATAATAATGATAACAAAAATAGACAAGGATAGGTTGACAAATAAAAATTTCTAGGGTTTGTTCTGTTCTCTTTTTTTTTTTCTTTCTTTCTCTATGACTGATTTTGTTTACTTTCTTTGTCATCGTTAAACTTCATTCTCGTTCTATCGTTCACGGTTAATATGATCCCATTATTTTGGTGATCGATAGAAAAGATGAAGATTCTCCGAATGTCATAAGCAGAAAAACAGACAAAAGAAAATACTATGAATAATATTAATAACTTTTTCTATTAAGAAGGAAGAACAAAAAAAAGATAGTTTCGTATATTAATGATCGATCATAGAATTTTCATCTTTCATATTCTATGCTGATAATATGCATTTAGACATTTCCCTAAGGATCTTCTACATTCATCTATTTCCTTTTTCCTAGACATTTGACAATTGCTTCAAGCTTTTTTTTTGTTTTTCATTGTATCAAAATTCTTTTTTATAATTTAGATGAAACTTGTATGATTGTCGACATGCCTGTTCGGAAACAAGGTAAACTAAGAAGATGAAAAAAATCATTTTTTTTTTTTTTTTTATATTTCTCGTTTAATTAGACGCTTATCGAGCATTAGAATTGCTCGAAGAATATTACAATCGTCTTGATTCACCAGAAGATAAACCATTAAAAAATGCCATAGATAGGTAACGAAAACTTTTTAATCAATAAGAAAAAAAAAAAAAAGAAGTAATAATAATGATTTTCATTCATTTTAGAGTTATCAAAGTTTTTAAAAGTCGACTTTTTCAAGCATTACTTGGTAAATAAATTTTCTTGATTAGTTTAAATAAAAACAAAAAAGTTTGATTAATTGTTTTTTTTTTTTTTAATAGATATTCAAGAATTTTATGAATCAATATTACTTGATGAACAACGTGATCGTGTTGCTAAAATGGATGCAACACTTCATTTAGCTGAAGAATGGGAAAAACAACCAATGCTTAAAAAAAATATACGAGTAAAGATTTTTCTTTAATTGATTAATAACAGAATCAGATTCCACTTAGCATTTTTAAGATCAGCATAATTTATTCTAATTTAAAGATGAAAAATTAAGATCTAATACTATTTGGCATAAACAAAATAGAAATGGTTGGTTTTACATTGAACTCTCCAGAAAAAGAATATCAAAATATGACATAAAATTAGAACTTGAATTTTTTTTGTTAGTATATGCACATCAATAGAATATGCAAGAAGAATAAGAAAATTATGTCTTGATCTTAAATTCTACCAAAACAAAAAAAAACCTAAACGATAGTAAACAACACTTGAGGTCTTTTTACAATCTATTCTACCATTTATCCATGACAGAGATTCATTGGATTTAGTGCTGGTTGCAAGTAACTTCATAAAAAAAAAAAACGGAGCAGAGATAACATCAGTTATGAGTGATGGAGTACAGAGTCGAACTATCTGAGTATGCGAACAAAATACATTGAAACACGTAGCAGAAAACAGGATTATACAGGCATAGTGTTGCGAAAGGGAAGATCCGAACATGATGATAATACTCTAGACCCAACATGTTAGTCATTCCGCTATCTCCTTCCATAGCTCGGGAGATTGTACATTATTTGTTAGATGCTTTAGATTAATTCAAGAGTAGAATTGTTACCTTTCTGTTGTATCAAAATAGAAGATCAATTTAAAAAATGTAACATTATAAAGACGTTCGAATTTAATTAAAATTTTCATTATATTAGTTCAATTAGAAAACATTTTTTTTTTTTTTTATTGTTTGATATAGAATGGTACACCAACAATTGAATCACCAATGATAGCAACAAATAATACAATATCTCGACCAACAAATATTAAAGAAAATAGTAAACGACAAACAACACCAACATCATTCACTCAAATGACTGATGTACATGATGGAATTCAAAATAACCGTCCAAATACATCAGGATTGAATTCACCTACTGATATAACACAACTTAATTATGATGATCATTGGCAAGAAATTGAAATTGATCTTGATCGAGTAAAGAAATCTAAAAAAAAAAAAAAAGAAAGAATGTTTTTTTTTTAATTCCTAATTTTTAATTTAATTTTTAAGCCACCTGGTGTTGGCCTTGGATTTTCAATTGCTGGTGGAACTGATACACCTTGTATTAGTGATTCTCCAGCTGTTGTTGTAACACGTATTACTGAAGGTGGTCTTGCTGATCGTGATCAACGATTAAAGTAGAATAAATAAATAAATAAATTCTTATCGTTACGAAAGAAAAAAAAAAAACAATATGTTTTCGTTTTTACAATATTTAGACTTCATGACATTATTTTACGTGTTAATACTATGGATTTCACTCATATAGAACATCAAGCAGCTGTTGATGGACTTAAAGCAGCTGGTAATCATGTTAATTTAGTAAGTCTATTAGAATTTTTATTAGAAATATTATGAAAATATTTTGTTTATTTATCTTAGTTAATTCGTCGATTAGCGCCACCTATTATGGAAGAAATTCAATTAAATAAGCCACCAAATGCACATTTAGGTTTTTCAATTGCTGGTGGTATTAGTCATGAACATGTTAAAGGGTTTGTTGTTTGTTTTTTATTTAAAAAAAAAAAACGAGAAGACATTCGAAAGAAAAATTTCGTTGTTCGTTTTGTTTTCTTTGTAGAGATTATGGAATATTTATAACAAATATAATTCCAGGTGGAATTGCTGATAAAAATGGACGTTTGAAAGTTGGTGATCGTCTTATGCATGTTCAATCATTGGTAAGAAAATATTTGTTGAATTTTTAATTTGAAAAAGAAAAAATTTTTGTACCTAAAAATAGAAAACTGGTTATGACTTACAATTTGTTGAACATAAACATGCTGTTGAATCAATTCGACGTGCATGTGATGAAAGTCAAACAATAACATTATTAGTTGGTCATCCAACAGATTATCCAGGTGTATCAGATATAACAATACAACCTACAAATGGACATCGTTCACCAATACAAAATGAAGAACAAGGAGATTTTCCATTGTAAAATATATTAAATTGAAATAATATTTTCATGTTATTAAAAAAATTAATTTTTTATTTTTTAGAGAACGTCGAGTTTTACTTCGTCGTGGTCAAACTGGTTTTGGTTTTAATATTGTTGGTGGCGATGGAGAAGAAGGTATTTTTTTATATTAATCTTACAAGAAAAGAACAAATGTCTGTCATTTATTGTCTCTCAACAATGAGATAAATATTGATGGCATATCAAAAAAAATTACAACTCAACTGTTGATGGAAATTTTTCTAACTGATAAATTACTTTTAAGTTGAGACAATATATACTCATATGAGATATAAATACTCTACAAAGAGTTCGAAAATTTAGCTTATTAGATATTGAATTTTTTAAACAGAGTATCGTGATTCCTTTCATCAAGAATAGGACTATTACTTTATAAGGTAAATATAAATAGAATCTTTATATTTATAAAATAACGAAAGATTTCTTTCTGTGATCAGTAAAATAGATAGTATAACAACAGGATATATTAATCAATATTGTTAAAACATTTCGATATGTGAGATAGTATTAAAAAGTTTTATGCATATTTGTATCTATGATATAAATTTTTGTGAGCTACCTGGTAAAAATTTCTTTATTATTGTCTATCTAATAGAAAGCGACTGAGAAAATCTGTTTTCTTAAAACTTGACAATAGAGTTCATTGGATTGATCCAGATCTGAAAATTTTAAACTCAAAGAGCTCTACTTGGCATGCAGTTTTCCGTTAACAGCTAAAAATTTTCGTAGACACTACGTAAAAAGCAAGAGGAAGATAACTACTCCTGCATGCTGAGAGCTATGATAGAGATCATTATTTATATTTATTCTGTATGATAAAGAATGATAAAAATATAATAACGCGAGAAAATCTGCTTAGCAACTGGTATTAAAAGTTATTGAATACGTTTCTATCGCGACCACAAGTATAAATTAATCATTTTAATAGTATTCTCAATTGTAGTTACGCAAGAAAAAAAATAATAGATTTGTATAGCGAATAGTATTGATTGAAGTTTTAATATAAGAGAGAGAAGCCAACAAAGGATAGTGTGTATAATTAACATACTAATATATGCAATAATAATAGTAAGGTAATGTGTTTTTTTTTGCTTATCATTGTTAGTGCTTCAGTAACTGTTTCAATGCGTGAGAAATGTCATTTATTAGTTCATCTATATTGATTGTTGTCATATATTTTTCTTCTTTATTACAAAACTAATCAATATTGTATTTAGCTTTATACATTAAAAAACTTATAATATCGAAAATGATTTAACAAAAAGAAACATTGTATAAACGTTTCATTCTTTCGCTTCACTTGTTCCAAATTCTTAAGTATATTTCATTACATACAAAAAAAAAAAAACTATACTAAATTATTTGCTAACTTATATGAAATACATAGATTCTACATTTCAGTCTCAAAGAGGTTGCGCTAACAAGTTTTGATATTCTTATTTCAAGATAGAAATAAATCAAAAGATCTAAACTACTCAGATTAAAATCTATGTCTGTGCAAAGTTTCAAGTTTTCCTGCGGAGCAAGAGCACGGCACTCATATGAAAAATGTAGTATCTCCATCGCAACAAGCTAAGGGCAAGAATTCTTTTTAAGACATGCGTCGTATCAGTTGGAGAACGGTCCTGATGAGATATCGAATAAAAAATTAAACTTAAGATAGTCTCGTAATCAACCTTTTAGCTGAGAAACTACCGTTTCAGAAAGGAAATACTGTTATCAATAATAAAAGAAACTTCGTTAAGATTTTACTAGATGAATATTTCGATAGATTAAAACAGGAAAAGGAAGAACTCATGTTGTGTTTTTTCTTATGAATACACTGAAAATCTAGACGATAATTTGACTTGTTTTTTTCTTTGCTCTTTTTTGTAAATAAAAACTCCTGCTGTGAAAAAAACAAGAATTTCAGTAGATTGTTCTCGAATAATAATATATCTATATATTCTCTGATTTGTTTTTTTTTTCTTTTCAAGGCATTTATATCTCATTTATACAAGCTGGTGGTATTGCTGATAAATCGGGTGAATTACATAAAGGAGATCGT